GAGTCCGTCCCCACTTGTCTCGTCTCCTCCCTGCAGAGCCAGCAGGGCTGCACCAGCGGCTTCCAGGGCATGGACATCCCCACGGCCGCCGGGGAGCTCTGGATCCTGGGCGACGTGTTCATCCGCCAGTACTTCGCCGTCTTCGACCGGGGCAACAACCGGGTCGGCCTGGCTCCCGTGGCCTGAGTCCCTTCTCCGGCTGCTTCCCGGAGCCCCGGCCGGGTCTGTGCCGGCTCTAAGGGAACAGCCTTCTCCCCAGGGTCTCCCCGGGGGGTCACCCCAATAATGTAGAATAAAACCTAACCTCCCGGAAATGTTTGTGGAGTGGCTTCTCTTCGTTGGTATTGCTTCTCGCGTCACTGGGGTCAGGGGTCAGGGCACAGGGCAGGGGTCGGAGATGGCCACGTCCACTCGGCCGGCAGTGGACACAGCGAGGCGGCCGCTCACACGCCAGGTGGAGCCGGGAAGACAAATGGGGCCTGGCAGGCGCTGCTGGGAGCATCGCGTGAAGACGTGGGAGTGGCTGCCGCCTCCATTTAAAGAGACAAGGAAGTAAGCCCTGGCCGGTGCAGATAGAGTGTCCGCCCGTGGAGGCCGGTGCAGATGGAGTGTCCGCCCGTGGACTTGGACCGAACGGTCCCGTGTTCGATTCCGGTCAAGGGCACGGATCTTGGTTGCAGGCGCCTGGCCCTGGTCAGGGTGGGTACAAGAAGCAACCACTAGCCAAACCGGTTTGGCTCAGTGGATGGAGCGTCGGCCAGCGGACTGAAGGATCCCAGGTTCGATTCCGGTCAAGGGCATGTACCTTGGTTGCGGGCACATCCCCGGTGGGGGGCGTGCAGGAGGCAGCTGATCGATCTCTCTCATCGATGTTTCTAACTCTCTATCCCTCTCCCTTCTTCTCTGTAAAAAAATCAATAAAATATATTTTAAAAAAAAAAGAAGCAACCACTCGATGTGTCCCTCTCACACCCATGTCTCTCTCTGTGTCTCCCCCTCTCCCTGCCACTCTGTCTAGCATCAATGGGAACCTATCCTCGGCTGAGGATTAAAAAATTAAAATAAAAGTTAAGCCTTGGGGACCAGAAATGCCAAGCCACTGCCTCCCCATAGAACAGGGGGTTAAGGGAACTGACTTCCCATTTCTCCCAAAGCCAATAAGACAAAGAGGAAAAGAGAGGGACTGAGGACAGGTGGCCACGGACGGTGACAATCCTAACAGGCCAGGCAGGTGGTCTTGTCTGCAAGACACGGCTGTGGGGGGCGGGGGTGACAGGCTGACCCCCCACATCTGCCAGGCTGCTCCTGCTCAGCTGGTCAATCCAGACTAACCCCTGAGGAGCCCTCCGCACTCTCCCATCGGGAAGGACGATGGTCTCCCTGCTCCCTCAACAGGGGTTTCCAGGGAGGAACGGAGCATGCTCGCTGGCCAACGAGCCCTAAAATGCAAACAGGAGACCCCAGGGTTTCTCGGAGCGGGTTCGGCAGCAGCGTGTTCAGTGAAAACCGAAGTTTCTAGAGTGAGTACGGGACATGCTCATTCTGGGCCCTCCTCCGAGGTTCACGAGGCACATGCCCCAATCAAGGCTCTGATAAGTCCTGCGGCAAAGCGATGTTTCGCTTCAACTCAGCTCAGCTTGACCAGCTCCTCGTCTGCCAGTAAACCGACTCTGGTCCTTGTGCTCCTCTGCACACACGTCGGAAAACCGCCCCCTGGCTCCTGCCGCTGCAGACGGCTGATTCCAGACTGTTCGCTGGACACTGGCCTGCGGGCTGGCGCTGGGCCGCCCAGCTGAGAGGGGCGACGTTGGGGTGACCAGAGCAGCAGAGCTCGAGGTGCTCTCTTGTCGCGTCCTCCCACAGTGTGTCCTCTGTCACTCACACAAATATCAGATGCTGGGCTCGAGGTAGGGCCAGCGGAGCGATCTTTTTTGAAACATAAATTTGACCACCTCCCTTCCTTGCTTAAACCCTTTCGTGACCATCAAACCTCAGAGGGAAGGTAGGGGAGGGTGGGGGTAAGGAGGAGAGATCAACCAAAGGACTTGTATGCATGCATATGAGCCTAACCAATGGACACAGACACCAGGGGGTGAGGGCATGAGTGGGGGGATTGGGGGGCCATGGGGCAATAAGGACACATATGCAATACCTTAATCAATAAAGAAAAAAAAAACAGCTTTTATGAATGCCTTGCAATGCCTCTGGGATAGGACCATAAAGCTCGGGCGTGGCCTCCCGGCCTTACATGCTCTGGTCCCTACCACCTTCCCCCCTCACCGCAACCCCCCTTACCTGAGCTCCCAGCTCCACAAACACGCACACTTCTTCCCCTTCCCCTCCCTGCCCCCC